TTCTTCACATGTGGAACAAACTGGAATAATAGACTGAATAGCAGAGGAAGTCAGCTTGTGGTTTGTGTTGAGCATACAGAATAATGCTTAAAAAGTTTTGCAACTGCATTCATGCATGATTTGCGATGACCAAATAGAGAGAGATCGCTCTGTTTCTATGATTGAACAGGTGTGCAACCCGTTGATGAGCAATTGCATTTTTTGGTCGGGTAGCAAGATAGCTTGTAAAAGGTATGACTCAGTTTTGGTTTATATTTTGTCGTGAAGGTTTGCGAAAGCAAACCGAAAAGCTCAGATTGAAGGTGAATCATCCCAGAGGGAGGTTTGAGATGAAAAGCAGTGTTTGCGTCAAAGATGTATGTCTGGGTGTGTATATAAATAGAATCCACCTGTTACTATCGCTACTCGAGGAACGGAATATCTCTTAACATGAGAATAGCACAGTTTAAAGTGACTAAAAAATTGATATTCATCTTTGATTTCAAGTTGCATATTAACGTCTTAAGCTCTCAGTTGTTCTTCTTTTTTTCATTCGGCACCGTGTAGTCTCTAAAGTCAGTTGCATTCAAGTTGAAGTATGTTCAGGCAACACCAAGAAATTTTCTCTAATGCATNAGTCTCTAAAGTCAGTTGCATTCAAGTTGAAGTATGTTCAGGCAACACCAAGAAATTTTCTCTAATACATATAAATTTCATTTCCAAGCGAAAAATGTAGAGGGCAAACATGAATCATGCAAAAGCATTACTGCAGAGATTACAAGCACATTGTTAAACTTTAGCATAAATCTATTATAACATATGTCGAAAAATTATTTGCTAAATTTTGTTTATGTTGAGAATTGTTTTTAGCGATGGTTACAAAGCGTTGAGGATTCACGTGGCGAGAGGAGTGGCTACGTTCCACGAGAGGAGAACGCCACCAGTAGTGTACATGATAATGTGTGTTTCTAATCGTTTTTTTTTTGTTGTTAATTTTACAGATCAGGTTCACCAATTATTTGTTAGTTTACTCTTTACTCTCCATTGAATAATTGCATCATCATTGGTATTCATTGGTCCGCGTTTATTTTTTTTTGGCTGTTTACTCATGATCGCAATCAAAACAAGCCATTCAATTTTATGGGTTTGTTTATTTGGGCATCAGCGTCGCCGTAAACAACTCTCGATAACTTTTCATTCAGTCGCACCCAGCTTTCTCTCAATTGTTAACACAAATTGTAATGCAACAATATTGTCGAGGGGAATGACGCCGCCTGTTAGGTTCATGATGGGTGCAACAGAAAGCGAGCGATTGATTGTGCAGCTACTGAAATAAGCAAACATTTTGTTTCGGCTACATCCAAAAAGTGTTTCAATCGATCAATTGGGATCAGTGAATTGGTGAGGGTGACATGGCATTTCGGAGGAATGCTCCGGTTTCCTCCAGTATTCACAACGGGAAGATGAGTTTTG